ATTGTTTTTCTATGTGACGAAATTTGGTCAACAAATGAAGTGCTTCTAGCTAGCTAGCTAGTTTTCGAATATGGGAGGGTTAAGATTCTCAGACATTTTATTATTTCCATTTGTAACTCTGCAACTTGGTAAGTTGACAGTGTCATATATATACTCATATGATTTACTACTGCCGTCCTACTAAGATTGAGACGAGAGAATGTGGCACAATTATTAAGAAAAGTGATTTTGTGTGGTTGATATTGAATTGATAAAATAAGAATAAAGTAAGAATGGTTTAGAGCCACACAATCTTTACCAAATTTGGCAGGGGCGTAGACAGGGGTGGCCATCCTGGCCATGGCCTAGCCCAAATTTTAAAAATGTCTAAATTTTTAGGGTGAAAAATTCCGTGTGAAATGTTTTCCAAAAATATTCTTTGTACCGGCCCAATCCGGCCCAGTATCCTGGCTCCACCCCTGAAATTTGGTATGAAATAGTTTTAATGGGACTTTCCGAAAAGGTAATATGAAACAATCTTAGTGGGACGGAGGGAGTATTAATTATTTCCGATAAGAATCTCTTTGTTTATACTTTGTATCCTTGTTCAGGTACGTACACTTGATTTATATAATTGTGAATATTGTTGTTCCATAATGAGGAGCTAGTGTGCATGGTAATATAATATTTGAAATATTTGAACTAATTATTGAAACAAGTACTTCAATTGCAATTCTATCATATGTGCACGGCAAATTATACCGTGGGATCGGCCCAACATGAGCTGAGGATGGTGTGCCGATCCCAAAACGGTACAGTTTTATGCTTCCTATTAAAAAAAATAGCAATCGCCGGATCCCCTTCGTCTCCTTTGTTGTTTCATCTCACAATAGAACTCCGTCGCACTCCAGATGTGGGACCAGAAGTCATTCGAAGATTTCTTCGCATAAAAAAGAATTATGTTTACGGCTAAAGGGTCAAATAGGTACATGAACTAACTTAAAGTGTTCAATTAGCCCCTTATATAGGAGCTTCTGCCCCGGCCATCGCCAATTGGAGCGGTTCCCGGTGGAATTTTTTGAGAATCCTCTTCATTAAGTCTAGTTTACCCATACCAAATTTCAGCTAAAAATTCAATCGGGAAAGCAGTCAAATGATTTTTTGAAGATAACTGTATAGTTAAATAGCGCAATACATTTCGGAAAATCATTTGACTACATTATCGGTTGAAGTTTTAGCTGAAATTTGGTATGGGTAAACTAGACTTAATGAAGAAGATGCTCAAAAAAATTCATCAAAAAATTCAACCGGAAACCTCCCCAATTGGCGATGGCCGGGCTGAACCTCCTATATAAGGGGCTAATTGAACACTTTAAGTTAGTTCATGTACTTATTTGACCCTTTAGCCTTATGTTTACATACCTGCTTCCCGAATACGAATTGTGCTTCAAATAGACACAGACAAAAGATTATCATGCAATAGCCCCATTCAAAATATCCCTTTTTCAATTCTGAAATTGATGTATTTTGGATCTGGAGTGCGTATATGTGGGTAAATATAATGTCTTCAAGCTAAATGTTTGTTTTATTATATATGTATAATGTTTTGAATATGAAAGTTCAGATTCTAATGAATAAGACTCACCTTGGTTATATGTTGAAGATGACTGCTATAAATTATTTTAGACCTCCCCTAACTTACATCTTACTCACACTCAAGTTACACCAGCATTTGCCGAACGTTACATATCTATTAACGTGAGTTACATGTCAACTTTTTTCATCAAGTTACATCTCACTTACATGTAATTTACATTTTTTATAATGCAAGTTACATCACAATATAATGCGAGTTACACAACACAATTAACACTACTATTCAAAGAAATATTATTTTCATTAAAAACATTTTTATAGATCTGATATTAAAAAACAAAACATATACAATATTTATGTAAAATAATTGGGCAATTAGACATCTTCTTTTTAAATATTATTTATATTGAAATCAATGTTTTATGAGTTAATTCCCTAAATAGGACTAAAAAGTGGCTAAATTGCACAAATAGGACTACATTTTTTAAATCCCCTTAATAGGACTATTTATGTGTGTTTGGCCAAATATACCCTTGTAACTTGTGAAATGTTTTAATTAATAATAAAATCATACAAAAATAATAAAAATCGAAAAAAATACTAAAAATCGTAAAAAGATAATAGAAAATTAATAAAAATATTTTTAAAAAAAATTAAAAAAAAAATATTTTTTTTAAAAAAAAATAAAAAAAATAAAAAAAAAATCGTAAAATTAAAAAAAAAAAACATTACCACCCCTGCCACCCCCAGCACCACCAGCTCCCATCACCGGAGAAAAATATGCCAACATTTTAAATAATGCCATAATGATGGCATATTCAATGAAAATGTTGGCATATATATTGAAGAGTAATTATGCCATCTTTTTGGCATTTTCAGAAAAAGATGGCATTTTTTACCAAAAGTGGAAGAAATTTCACCAATCGGAGGTGGTGGTGCTGGGAGGCGGCGGATGGCGGTGGGAAATGTATCCATAATTTTTTTCATTTTTTATGGGTTTTTACTATTTTTTATTATTTTTTTAAAAAAAATTAAAAAAATAAAAATTAAATTTTTTATTTTATAAATGTTTTATAAATTTTTTATAATTTTTTTTACGTTTTTTAAATATTTTTTACGTTTTTTTATGATTGTATTATGAATTAAAGCATTTCATTATGAATTAATACTCTTAGGGGTATTTAGGGTAGAAAATCTATGTTTAGTCCTATTTAGGGAATTTAAAAAGTAGTAGTCCTATTTGTGCTTTTTAGGAACTCATTAGTCCTATTTAGGACAATTTCCGATGTTTTATTTCTTATACTTTGTATTTGACAAGTTACATTTCGACCGGACTTGAGTTACATCGATCAATAACGTGAGTTACATTATTTTATACGTGATTTACATCATTCATGCTACTGGGATAAGAAATACAGTTACTGTTTACGCATTACTGTTCACGCATTACTGTTCACACGATTTAAAAAATATATGCAAAACTACGTCGCTTTGGGATATGTGGAGCACGGTGCTCACCGTGGGATGATCCCACGGTATAGGAACTGCTCTCTCATATGTACATCCACAAATTCACTCTCTACTTTATTATTTTTTTTTAGGTATCACACAGACACACACAAGTATCGATCATGAGTCTCTAGCTCGATCATCATTCTTTTATACGAGTATTTTTTTTCACTATTCTATTTTGTGTAATTTTCTTCTTTAATCTCTCCTTTCAAAAAATCGGATGTGTACTTTAAGTAATAGAATATAATCTCAAGATCATAATTGTCTGAAAATATAATTAAATTGCAAATGATATCAATAGTGTAATGTAAGTTGAAACGTTCACATATATTTTGATTTTAAATTATTACTTTCTGAAATATAATGTCATTTTTTAAACTTTTCATTACTTTGAAAAATTAACTCACTAGCAGATTTTCAAAAATAGTGATTGAGATATGACATATGAATATATAACTCGTGTATCCAAATAATTATTCAAGAGAATGAATAGTAAAACAATATTTACCTAACATGTCGTGATGAGTAACAATTATTATAAGCTTTTTGAAGTCATTTAATATGATCGAGAAAATTAACACATGTGCAACACACAAGTAAAATTACTTTTTTTTATCGTCGAAAGAGGTGCTTAAATTCAAATCACAACATTCAGATAAGGGGTAAAACGACAAAAAGATCACAAGCAACTGTCAGCCTTTGAACCAGACTTAGAGTTAATCACCTCCAAAAAAACAATATAACTCGTTGATCCTATAATGGGCATAAATGAGCCAACGACGATTAAAGCAGACCTCCCATCACTCAATCCTAATGCAAAAGTCTTACAATAATAAAAGTAACCAACAGAAAAATAAACAATCTGATCATGAAAAATAAAAAGCAATCAGTAAAATTAAAATACTGCTTCCAAACCCAAAACTCTTCTACACTCCATGGTGGCGGTTCAGGAGGGGGACGGTCCGTATTGTAACATCTTGCGCTCCTTGCCTCCGGTCCAGATTTGTTCCAGCCCTTAGCCCCACGCTCCGTCCATGACCTTCTGATTTCAACCATGAACGACATCCTCGAAACTCTCCACCTTCTGCTAGGGATACCCAACCTTTGGCCGTCATATAGGTGTTGCGATTTGATGAAGAAGAAAGTATCATGAATGGCGGACGAAAGCCGCACAAGAAAACCGCACTTCGTCGAAGACGAAAGCGGAGAAAAACAAGCCCTAACCCTAGAGGAGATGACCACTTAGAAAGAGAAGCTCTCGTCTAGTATTTTTCCTCTGATATATGATTGAAATACAGTAAAATTACTAGTTAAGGTAAAAATAATAAAAAATGATATGAAAATAAATCATCGAAAAATCAACCAACACTACAAGAATTTTGACAAAACATGATGAAGAAATTCGTCACATAAAATTCATTTTTCGTCATTAAAACTTTTTTGTGACGAATTAAGATCGTCACAGTAATCGCCATCGTAGCTCCGTGGCAAAAGATATAAACGACGACTTTTGAATTCGTCACTATATAGTTATTTTTTATGACGCTTTAGTTCATCGTAACGATTATTGATCACATTTAGTGACGCCTAATGCGTCACTTTTAAGTTGATTTTTTTGTCACTTATATGTGAATTTCGTCATCTATACTTGAGACAATAAATGACGAAATCATGTATTGTCAAAAATTTGTATTTTTAATGACGCTTTAGTCCATCGTAACGATTATTGATCACCTTTAGTGACGCCTAATGCGTCACTTTTAAGTTGATGTTTTGTCACTTATATATGAATTTCGTCATCTTTACTTGAAACAATAAATGACAATATCGCGTATTGAAAACAAAAAATAATTTAAAGTGACGATTCAAGTTATAATATCAAATATCAAATCAATGAATTTCAGGATTTTCTATTGAAATAATGAAATTTTATTAAATGAAAAAACATGATACACAAGAGGGGGGCCAAACCAAAACCCCTCTCAAAATACAAAACATAACCTAACCCCCTTGATTTAAGGGGAACAATAACAAAAATTAGAGCTATGCAAAAAAAACTTCAAATATAGTGCAACCAATTAGTTTGTGTCCAATGTACATATAGGAAAGACACAAACTTGAAGCGCGTCTATTAACCACTTTCTTTGATTAATTGCTTGACAGCTTCCGTGGAAACCTTGGATGATTGAGTTTCCAATCATTTCCTTCTTCTTCTCATTTCGTTCGCAATTCTGTTGTGCGCTTCTACACCAAAACCCTTTAAATATTTTATTAGTCAAACAATACAAATCAAATGCCAAGAATAAATGAATATATTCAATATTCCAATGTGCAATGACATTAAGAGATTCACACTTGGTATTAGTAGATGTATTATATTTTTCTCCCTTGTTGACCATTTAGAGCAACACATACCTTCAAAGTGAATCCATTAAATGTAGAAAACTACATGTTAGACACATTTAGAAACCACGAGCAACATAGAAATTAACTTAAACAGTCAGACTTGAGTTATGTTCCAAACATAGTAGCCAGTTCAAATTCTAGTAACTAATGCTTGCCAATAATAAGTTAAAGGTTGATGTGTCAACTCCACTTGGTGAACATAAACTCACTTTGGAACCTGAAAGATTGATGGGTCAGGGGTAGGTCTTAAGAAGTCCAGGATTGATATATCTAGCAAAGTCAAATAGCCTGGGGTTAAGAAAAACAATACACTCACATTCAAATAAAAAATTAACAATGTTATTATTGGTTAAAAAACAGTTGTGAATGACGACAACAAGTAGGAAAGGATATCATGAATGTATGTTCCACATACCTCTCGATTGGAATATCGAAATATTAGTAAATGGACACTTGTTTGTTGGACAGAACATGTATGTTTTTATTTTCCACCCACAGCTCTTTCTGCTTTTTTCGTGGCAACTCAAATCTGCCTCACTTATTCAATGGTGGAAAGGTTAATGCATGGTGCTAATTAAGTAGATCAATACAAAATTGAACTTTCAACGCGTAAAAGTCAATCTACAAACCACAAAAACAATACTCACGTAAAAAAATCAGACATGGAACCAGGAAACAATGAATATATTTTTCAACTCTTACACGTAATGTAGACCACGATACCAAGTATTTGAAGTTAGCCATACTTTAGAAAAAACTCTTTTAATTATTTTTATTCCAATAGAATACACATCTATAATTTTATGATAGTCAAAATATCCCCGAAACTGCTGTCCTCACTAGAATTATTTTCACAGTTTTCTACTTCTCTAAAGCACAAAATGGAAATGTGGGAAGTACCTCCTTTATAACTTCCATCGGAAGTTATTCCGAAGCTGTCACTACAAGAATTGGATCACAGTGAACAACTCCTCGAAGATGACAGTAAGATACAGTGCTTAATATTTTGAACCAAAAATGCTCTAGAATCTCCTGAATGAATTTCCCATCCCTTCATTCCAAAAAACAAGATTAAAATGATCTTAGTAAGTTTAGTGGCGGCAAGTGAGTGGCCAAATGAGATTATATATATATATATATATATATATATATATAGAGAAAACTTCATGTCAGGCCGGCCTGACGGGCTGCCCCGTCCGGCCGAGCCCGTTTGGGCACCTTCCCGGTGGAATTTTTTGATGAAATTTTTTGAGCATGTTCCTCATCAAGTCTAGTTTGTCCATACCAAATTTCAGCTCAAAATTCCATCGGGAAGGTCGTCAAAAAAATTTTACAAGTTAACTGGTCCGGAATATGTATTTTCCGGACCAGTTAACTTGCAAAAATCATTTGACGACCTTCCCGATCGAATTTTGAGCTGAAATTTGGTATGGACAAACTAGACTTGATGAGGAACATGCTCAAAAAATTTCATCAAAAAATTCCACCGGGAAGGTGCCCAAACGGGCTCGGCCGGACGGGGCAGCCCGTCAGGCAGGCCTGACATGAAGAGCACTCTATATATATATATATATATATATATATATATATATATATATATATATACTCGTATATATATATACTCCCTCCGTCCCAAATTGTAAGATACTTTACGGTTTACGATGTTTGACCGATGATAAAGCAATTTGATCCCTGTCAACACTCAAATTAGTTTTAGAAAATAAAATTTACATATTTAGAAACTACATCAAAACCGCTACAAAACCTGCAAAAAGTAATTCAAATTTCATAAACTTTTGGTACTCCCTCAGTCCCAAATTGTAAGATACATTTACTATTCACTTGGTCAACATAAATCACTTCTAAACTTTTATTTTATATATCAAAAGTTTATGAAGTTTGAATTATTTTTTGCAGGTTTTGTAGCGGATTTAATGTAGTTTTTGAATATGTAAATTTTATTTTCTAGAACTAATTTGGGTGTTGACAGGGATCAATTTGCTTTATCGTCAGTCAAACATCGTAAACCGAAATGTATCTTACAAATTGGGACGGAGGGAGTATATAAAGTAAAATATTAAGAGTGATTTATGTTGACCAAGTGAATAGTAAATGTATCATACAATTTGGGACTGAGGGAGTAGTACTTATCTGGTCAGGCGCGCCTGACCACAACCGCCGTGCGGACTTGCCCGTTTGGGTTGGTTCCCGGTGGAATTTGTAGATGAAACGTTTTGAGCATGTTCCTCATCAAGTCTAGTTTATCCATACCAAATTTTAGCTCAAAATTCGACCGGGAAGGCAGTCAAATAAATTCTTGAAACTTACTGCACATTCTGCGCATATATAAAGTGCAGTAAGTTTAAATAATTGATTTGACTGCCTTCCTGGTCGAATTTTGAGCTGAAATTTGGTATGGACAAACTAGACTTGATGAGAAACATGCTCAAAAAATTTCATCAAAAAATTCCACCGGGAACCGCCCCAAACGAGCAAGTCTGCACGGCGGTTCTGGTCAGGCGCGCCTGACGAGATAAGTTCTCTCTCTCTCTCTCTCTCTCTCTATATATATATATATATATATATATATATATATATATATATATATATATATATATATATATATATATTTGTGCACCTAGAAAGAATCTTGTCAAGTAGTTCTCCTCCTTTGCATAGTCCTTGAGCAAAAAAAAACAAACCATAATTAGTTTTAACAACAATGAAACTACTATACTATCGGGTACGTATAAAAATTTAGAGTTCTATAATTAGGACTTGGCCAGTTAAGCAAAGAGTATGTTAGATATGAAAAGATAAGTTATTGCCTTCTTGGCATGATCACCTCCTTCTATGAACAGAAAACCATCTAAAGACAAACATACATGTGAAACGTTTAGGTAATATTGTGATTTCTTAAAATTGTGACACATCTAAAGTGCAGAATATGATATCATAAAATTGTGATTTCTAGGTAAAACATTTTTCTGGACAAGGAAAATAAGTATTATTCTTACAAAAAGGCAGGAAAGAAATGACTAAATAGCTCTCACATACCAGATTTTGACATTCTGCCATTCTACATAATCTCCATCCAAATTTATACCACAGAAAATTGTTGGGAATAACAGGATCGTGCTAATATGAGAGAAAAACACTTCTATTACTTTCAAGAATAGAAATAAGAGACATACAAGCTCTAACTAAAAACTCTCAAAACACCTCACATATCTCTCAAGGATATTCACAACTCAAACTTGGTTGTGGTATTCTAATCTATGATCTAAATTGCTTGATGATAGAAAGACTCTCCAAGCTCTCTATTTATAGTACCAAAACAAGGTAGTATGAAGGTGGGAGGAAGATGTGTTGAAGCTAGGAGGAAGTTTCAATGGAACATGAGGAAGCTTCAATGGTGGTTGAGGAAGATCCCTTTGTCATTCTTGCACATGGAGGAAGCTTCATGGAAGCTATGAATTGGATTCTTCAATTTGCTTGTACTTGGATATGACCTGGAAATTGAATTCTTCAATTCTCCCCTTCCAGGCATATTCAAAACAAGCATCCCGACTATGTCTCTGCATAGCTCTAGCTTATCTCGTGTTACCACCTTCGTCAGCATGTCTGATGGATTCTCCTTTGTATTGATCTTCACTAGTCTCAACAGTTGTTGATCAATCGTCTCCCGTATCCAATGATACCGAATGTCAATATGCTTTGTACGAGAATGGTACATAGAATTCTTGCTCAAGTCTAGAGCACTCTGACTGTCACAATGTACCTTGTACTCTTTCTGCTGGATCCCAAGTTCTTGGAGAAAACGCTTTAGCCACAACATTTCCTTACCTGCTTCAGCGGCAGCAATGTATTCTGCTTCTGTAGTAGATAAAGCGACACACTTCTGCAATCTTGATTGCCAAGAAACGGCTCCCCCTGCAAAAGTGTAGATATATCCTGAAGTAGACTTTCTACTATCAGTATCTCCTGCCATATCATCATCTGTGTAGCCTTCCAAGACTGGATTAGCTCCTCCGTAACAAAGACATAACTTCGTGGTACCTTTCAAGTACCTGAGAATCCATTTGACTGCCTCCCAATGCTCCTTCCCGGGGTTAGAGAGAAAACGACTCACTGTACCCACTGCCTGTGCGATGTCTGGCCTTGTGCATACCATGGCGTACATCAAACTCCCAACTGCTGAAGAATATGGAACTGCTGACATCTCCCCGATCTCTTCCTTGGATGTAGGGCATGTTCTTTTGCTCAACTTGAAGTGATTCGCAAGTGGAACACTTACTGGCTTGGCATCATTCATGTTGAATCTCTCAAGTACTCGTTCAATGTACTTCTCCTGAGATAGCCATAACTTGCGATTCTTCCTGTCTCGAGTGATCTGCATCCCAAGAATCTGTTGAGCCGGTCCTAAGTCTTTCATATCAAAAGACTTAGAGAGTTCTTTCTTCAGTTGGTTTATCTTCACTGCATCTTTCCCAACGATCAACATGTCGTCTACATATAGTAGAAGAGCAATGAAGGTACCGTCTGGAAGTTTCTTGATGTATACACACTCATCTGCAGTAGTCTTCTTGTAGCCTTGACTCTTCATGCATGAGTCAAACTTCTTATTCCACTGCCTTGGTGCCTGCTTCAAGCCATACAAACTTTTAGATAACTTACACACAAAGTTATCATTTGAGTTCTCAAAACCTTCCGGCTGCTGCATGTAGATTTCTTCTTTCAAATCTCCGTGAAGAAATGCTGTCTTCACATCCATCTGTTCAAGCTCCAAGTTCATACTTGCTGCCAAGCCAAGAATAACTCGGATTGAGGTCATCTTGACAACTGGTGCAAAGATCTCATCAAAGTCAATTCCTTTCTTCTGCTGGAACCCTTTGACAACTAACCGAGCTTTGTGTTTCACCACTTGTCCGCTTGCATCCTTCTTCAGCTTGAACACCCATTTGTTCCTTAGTGCCTTCTTCCCTTTAGGAAGTTCTACGATCTCATAAGTTTGATTTTTCTGCAGAGATTCTAACTCATCCTGCATTGCTATTAGCCATTTTTCTTTATCCTTATGAGATACAGCTTCTTGAAAACTCTCCGGTTCTCCATCTTCAGTTAACAAAAAATATTCGGATGATGTGTACCTTGTCGATGGTATATGCCCTCGTTCAGATCTACGAACAGTAGGAACCACCTGAGAAGAGCTACCATCATCTGTGCCTGGCGGGGTGGATTGTGTCTCCCCTTGCTCTGCACTGTCTTCTGTCTCCTCACCTTCTTCTGTTTCTGAGTTATCTTCATGCACTTTGTCCTCTTCTGGTGCTTCATTTGAAACTTGAACACCCTCATTTGACTTCCGAGACATTGTGGGTTTTTCAATGTCTTCTATTGTCAAATCTTCGTGGAACACAACATCCCTACTTCTGAACACCTTTTTCTCCTTAGGATCCCATAGCCTGTATCCAAACTCTTCATTTCCATAGCCAACGAAAATGCATGGGATAGTTCTTGCATCGAGCTTCTGTCTGAGCTCTTTGGATACATGTGCATATGATGAACATCCAAATACTCTAAGATGTGAGTATGTAGGATCCTTACCTGTCCATAACCTCTCTGGAACTTCAAAGTTCAGTGGTACCGAAGGTGATCGGTTGATAAGGTAGCATGTGGTGTTGACTGCTTCTGCCCAGAATGACTTCGGAAGCTTAGCCATATTCAGCATGCTCCGGACACGCTCCATGATAGTCTGGTTCATTCTTTCAGCAACGCCGTTGTGCTGAGGGGTGCGTGGTACTGTCTTCTCATGTCGAATGCCATATTCTCTACAATATGCATCGAACGCCTTAGAAGTATACTCGCCTCCATTATCAGATCGGAGACATTTCAGCTTCTTTCCCGTTTCACGTTCCACCAAGACGTGAAATGTCTTGAAGCACTCAAATACCTGATCTTTCGTAATCAGGAAATACACCCACACTTTCCGAGAAGCATCATCAATAAAAGTCAGAAAATATCTGCTTCCACCGATTGATTCCACCTCGAAAGGACCACAGACGTCGGAGTGTACCAAACTTAACAACTCTGATCTTTTAGCTGAAGTAGAACTAAATGATACTCTATGATGCTTACCAAACAGACAATGTCTGCAAGGACCCAGTGCAGCATTCTTGTCGATGTTGATAAGGTTCTTCTTAATCAAGGTAGTCAGCCCTTTCTCACCGATGTGGCCGAGCCTCAGATGCCACAGATTCTGAGTAGTCTCCTCAGCAATATTGAGGCTATCCGTACAAATCCTCAAATGAGTTTTGTACAATGTGCCACAAACATGTCCTCGAGCAATTGTCAAAACGCCCTTTGACATTTTCCAGGTGCCTCTGTTGAAATGGTTTTCATATCCCTGTTCGTCAAGACATACCACTGACAGGAGATTGAGACGAAGGTCTGGAACATGTCTGACATCCTTCAAAGTGATTGTGCTCCCAGAACTCGTCTTTATTTGTACATCACCAATTCCAGCTATTTCAGATGAACTGGAATTACCCATCTTCACTGCTCCAAAGTCTTCAGCTTTGTAAGTTGTGAAGTAGTACCTGTGGGGAGTAACGTGGTAGGATGCTGCAGTATCTACCACCCATTCAGTGTCCTCTCTTGAGACGTGAAGGCATGTTTCATCATTGATAGTACAATACGCCACATCACCTGAGATTGTGATGAGCGCTTCACCACCCTTGCTCTTCGCTTGAGAATTGCTCTTGCCTCGCTCCTCTAGCAATTTGTAGCAATTCTTCTTCATGTGACCCTCTATACCGCAATGGTGGCAGGTATAAGAAGGTTTCCGGTCATCTGATGATCTCCCCGACTTTTGCCCCTGCTTTGCCACTTTCCTCTACTGTTTCTTTGTTGCTTTCCTTGTGATCTTCCTCGATTCTCCGTCACAAGGGCATGAGTCTCATCTGTGCTCATGTCTTTCCTTCTTGCCTCCTCATTGAACAGTGCATCCTTGACCACAGACATGGTAAGTTTGCCATCTGGGGCTGAGTTGCTGAGAGTAACAACTAGTGTCTCCCAACTATCAGGAAGGGAACTAAGAAGTAGTAGAGATTGCATTTCATCTCCAAGTGGCATTTCTACATAAGATAGTTGATTTACCAGACTCTGAAATTGACTAGTATGTTCGGCAACAGAAGTTCCACTTTTGAGCTTCATATTGACAAGACGCCTCATCAGTAGGGCCTTGTTCCTAGCGGTCTTGGCCTGGTACATATCTTCTAACTTTTTCCAAAGGACATAAGCATCGGTTTCTTGTGCAACATGGTGGAAGACACTATGGTCAATCCATTGTCGGATTTGACCAATAGTTTTTCTATTAATTTTCTTCCATTCCGTTGACTTAGCCGGGTCAGGATTAATACCTTTCATCTCTATTGGATCAAAAAGGTCTTTACAGCTAAGGAAATCTTCCATCCGAGGTTTCCATAGCGTGTAGTTGGTAGCCGTGAGCATAATCATAGCTCCGGAAGATGAAGTTGACTCGTCAAAGGTCATTTTCACCTTCTATATAATTTTGATTTTCTGTTTCAGAAAAATCGGAGCAGAATTTTGAAAAACGGGCAGCACCGTTGCGTCCGGAACGGCCGAAAATGGTGGGTAGGCACTTTCGGGGTCAAAATACAATTTTCGAAAAATTATAGGCCGAAATTATAATTTTTCAAAAATTGAGGGACCAAACTGCAATTTTTCAAAATTTAAAAACTGACCGGTGACGTGGCAGATGACGTGGCAGTGACGTGGCAGTGACTGGGCGATGACGTGGCAGATGACCGGGCGCTGGTGAAAGTTGGCAGTTGACTGGTGACGTGGCGGCTGACTGTGCTGGGACTGTACATGTGGCGCTGACGTGTCGCTGACGCAGCTCTGGCTGGCTGATGATGTCAGCGATGACGTCAGCTGTCTTCAACCTCTGTCTGCGCGTGATGACGTCAGCATGACGCAGGCAGTTTTTGGCCGGCGTTTGGCGGCGCGTACGGCAGCTTCCGGTGGCCAAAAAAATCCCCAAAAATACCAGTTTTCTCGTCTCGACGAGACGAATCCAACGGTATATTCAGATTGCAATTCTGAGCAATATTGAAAAACTCGATTTTTCAGACAGTAGAATTTTACCTGAAAAAATCTGGGAAAAATATCAAAAGCTCAACCAGGCTCTGATACCACTTGTTGGGAATAACAGGATCGTGCTAATATGAGAGAAAAACACTTCTATTACTTTCAAGAATAGAAATAAGAGACATACAAGCTCTAACTAAAAACTCTCAAAACACCTCACATATCTCTCAAGGATATTCACAACTCAAACTTGGTTGTGGTATTCTAATCTATGATCTAAATTGCTTGATGATAGAAAGACTCTCCAAGCTCTCTATTTATAGTACCAAAACAAGGTAGTATGAAGGTGGGAGGAAGATGTGTTGAAGCTAGGAGGAAGTTTCAATGGAACATGAGGAAGCTTCAATGGTGAATGATGAGTTAGAGTTGTAATAGAGTTGTAATGGCTATGAAATAACATTTGCAATAACGTTTAATTAACGTTTTGTAATTAATCACTTACGTCCCACTTACGTACGTTTGCAATACCATTTACATAAGTTTACAATCGAATCTAATTTTTAGTTGCACACATTTACGACTCATTTATGTTTATTGCAATAACATGAATGGCTATAAAATTACATTAACGTGTAAACATCAATTGAAATTACATTTGCTATAAGATTTATGTAATGTAAAACGCAACAAGATAAAAAAAGGATGAAATTAAATGTGTATTAGTAATTGGAGAAAAAGTTAGAGAAGAAGCTCAAGAAAGAAATGGAGAAAAATTTGTATAATATCAATCATATAGGACTCTAAAGTTTATCACTTCATCAAATAGGCACTCTTTAAATACTTATTCAATTGTTTAAATACATATTTTTAAACATTCACCTAAAATACATATTGGAGTGTTTGGTTTAAAGTGCATAAGTGATTCTAGTGCTCTAATTTATTCCTAGAATCAGTTTTTAAGAAGGTGGGGAGACCAACTTATGAAAACTGATTCCGATTCTACTTTAAAAAAGAATCAAAAATAGAATTAGTTCCAAACACCCCTTAATTGCACCTAATAGGACTCTAAAGATGTGTTTACTTGGACAATTTTAAGATGCAGACCAGACCAAACATAAACAAACTAGACCAAATCAAACCAAACTTAAACATACAAGACCAGACCAGACCAGACTTAAACGGACCAGACCAGACTTGACTTCCGTACGTAGTTATAAAATACACAGACGTTTACCAGACCAGACCAGTTCAAACCAGACCAGGCTTACACAGACCAGACTAGACTGAAACAAACTAGCAAATTACAGTCCAAGTAAAATCATCCTAATACACGCATTACATACACATGAACATATATGGGTGATGATGATGATGATGATGATGATGATGATGATGATGATGATGATAGTAGTAGTAATCATAATAGTAATAATAATAATAATAAGGGAAAACTGTCAAATAGACCCTCGTAGTATATCGAAAAAGTCAATTAAACCCTCCAACTAAAGAAACACTCAATTAAGACCTTCAACTTTAGAAAAACATTCAATTATATCCTTCTAGCAGGTTCACTTCCGGTTAACCGGTCAAATATGTCCATGTGGCATTTTTTTCTTTCCGTTTTCTTGTCCCCCTTATCCTATTTTCTTTCACCATCCTACCTTCTTCTTCAATTCCCACCGCCCCACCCCCGTCCCCTCCCCTTCTTTCTTGTGAATCCCATTTCATCGAACAAACCGGGTACGAGCAATGGGTGGTGGAAATTGAACCCGTCTGCTGGAAATAGGGTCTCAATGGCGAGAGCAAGGAGGACTCTCAGGTGCGGCGGTGGAGGACTTTCAGGTGCGGCGGTGCTGCAGTTGCTATCTTGACAAATTTTAATCCCAAGATTGATTGTTTTTCCTTGAAAGTCAAATATTAATTAGGTAATCTTATTGTGTAATGTATATGCCTTTTTTTGTCCGGCTCATCTTCTCCTTAGGGGGTTTCAAAAAATTTATACTTGGTGTTAAGCTCAAGCATGTACGATGTAGAATATGAACAACCCCGTTACTTAAGTGGTCACCTAATTGAGGATTTAGTCACTCTGCCTTCATGTGGTTAGAGAGACGCCGGATCTCCACCGCTGGAGTTCGGATTGTCACACGAAGCTTCCTTATTCCATGGGAATTCTTCCTCATCGGCGACAAAGTCACAAGACTGAGTAATCTATTGGCCTACTCTAAACACGGAGCCTAACCCCTGAACATATGTGCTCCAATGGTGGGCTGAAGAAGAAAGAAGGGGAGGGGTGGGGCGGGCTGAAGAAGAAAGAGGTGGGAGAAGAAGCTTTCACGCGGAAGAAGAAGAGGTGGGGAGAAAGACAGTCTGACGTGGAAGAACAAAGGAGGGTAGAAAAGAAAAAAGACAACACATGGTCTGCCACGTCAACACAGTAACCCATTAACTGGAAGTGAACCTGCTAGAAGGATATAATTGATTGTTTTTCTAAAGTTGAAGGTCTTAATTGAGTGTTTCTTTAGTTGGAGGGTTTAATTGACTTTTTTGATATACTACGAGGGTCTATTTGACAGTTTTCCCTAATAATAATAATCAGAATAGTAATAATAATAATAATACTCCGTAATAATAATAATAACAATAGTAATAATAATAAAAATTTAATAATAATAATGGTGATTATGATGATAATTGTATTATTATTATACACAAGTTTTTCTCAATAATGACTAATTTAAGAATTAAAATCACAAGTTCACGTCCATGAGATGATGAGACCATGACTAGCTATTCACCTTAATGCCAATTCTTTTGCAGAATAGGGAGGAGAAAAGTCTCTAATTTTTAAAGTGTTACATATCGAAATTCCTAACTTCTTATGATCTTTCATTTGACACCAATATTACACATGTAAAAATAAACGGAAGATCTAATTGCTGAAGATTTTAAAGCCTAAAATTTTTTTGTCAATAAAGCCCAAAACTTTTTATAAGTAGATTCAAATCTAAACATAAATATTTCATAATTAATTTGTACATTTTTTAGACAAATTTTCAAGAAAAATAAAATAAAATCTAAAACATTGGTATTAGAAAATTCCCCAAAATAAGAGTAATTACTGCCAAGATTGAAAAATATTGTCATGTTTAAAGTTTGGTATTGCCAAAATATGACAGTAATTAGTCCTATTTTGAGAATAAAAACATGATAGTCCTATTTTAGAATATACAAACATTTTTATTCGTATTTAGAGGGTAATTTGCCTAAATGTTGACATTACTTAAATTTTACAATCATTATTTAACTCATTACACGATGCAAAGTTCATATAATATAAAAAATAATTCATATTGTAAATTATATTTCATACAATACTTTAATTATTGTATATGCATAATCACATTTAGTTTAAACCGGGAGTAAGACTGTATGATATAATAAAAACATAATGACAATATGCATATAATGTGAACACAGTCAAAGTATTCATAGTAAAAATTTCATAAATAACACTTTTATTATTCTTCAGTTATGCACAAATAGAAGAATATTAATAACGTACTCCCATTGTCCCAACCAAATCCAACGAAACGTGGCCGCAACGGGAATAGGTCGGGATCACAACACATGTTGTGGCTGCAATTTGAGGTTTCCTTCTGTAGCGCAATCACATCGGGTCGCAATGGAGGCGAGATTTCGATTCACAGGAAAAATCTACTACGTAACCCAACGAAACTGTAACGTCGTCGTAACATGGCCATTTCGGATTGTATCAAGACATCAACACTAATTATTTTCACATTTCATTGAAGTATAAAATTAAATTACACTGCTCGACCGCAATAAGCATTACAACGGCTGCAATAGCCGCAATCGCAATGCTACCGCAATGAAAAACCTTGATATAGACTAAAGAGAAATACATAATATATGATGATGGATAATTTAATATATAGTCATTAAATAAATAAAAATTTATTATTGTTTGTGATTATTAGATCATAGAAAGTATGCATTTACGGAGTATTAAAATTTGTATCCTATGATTGATTCACGATATCTATTACGTAATACTCCGTAGTATCAAATTCACACACCGCTACCGGGGCATTGCCCCGGGCTTTACACTAGTTCATACTAAATTGAATGATTCTCACAAATGACAAGTAGATTAAATCCCTCCCTGAAAATCTTAATTTATAGAAATTATAAATGAGCCAACGACGATTAAAGCAGACCTCCCATCACCCAATCCTAATGCAAAAGTCTTACAATAATAAAAGTAACCAACAGAAAAATAAACAATTTGATCATGAAAAATAAAAAGCAATCAGTAAAATTAAAATACTGCTTCCAAACCCAAAACTCTTCTGCACTCCATGGTGGCGGTTCAGGAAGGGGACGGTCCGTATTGTAACATCTTCCGCTCCTTGCCTCCGGTCCAGATTTGTTCCAGCCCCTAGCCCCACGCTCCGTCCATGACTTTCTGATTTCAACCATGAACAGCATCCTCGAAACTCTCCACCTTCTGCTAGGGATACCCAACCTTTGGCCGTCATATAGGTGTTGCGATTTGATGAAGAAGAAAGTATCATGAAAGGCGGACGAAAGCCGCACAAGAAAACCGCACTTCGTCGAAGACGAAAGCGGAGAAAAACAATCCCTAACCCTAGAGGAGATGACCACTTAGAAAGAGAAGCTCTCGTCTAATATTTTTCCTCTGATATATGATTGAAATACAGTAAAATTACTAGTTAAGGTAAAAATAATAAAAAATGATATGAAAATAAATCATCGAAAAATCAACCAATTCAATACTATCCAAAAGTAAATGCATGTGGAATATAATGAGAATTTCTTTTTCAACTGTTTTGTCAATAAAGGCTGAAGGCACGTTTTCTTCACCACCCAAATTGTGATCTAATACTACCTCCATACCTTATTTAAGTTCCAAATTTGACTTCACACAGATTAAGAAAATAAATTTGACTTTACTGTGGAGTGCACGTACTGTTTTACAATGTTTGGACACTGTTTGACACTGTTTTGCACTGTTTTGGTATAGATTTATTTGCCAAATAAGGAAAGTGTGAACTTGTATGAGACATCCGAAAAAAGAAAGTGAGAACTTAAATAGGGTACGGAGGGAGTATGTGTCCTTTTTTTGTACTCATTCAGAGCATCCACATTCATGATACTCAAACAAACAAATTCTTAGTGATATGTAGATTTTTTCAAAATAATCTCATACCTTCAAAATTACATCATTCATAATCTCAAA